AACCCCAAAACCCCAAAACCCCAAAACCCCAAAACCCCAAAACCCCATAAATATACAAATAATTGAAATCCAAATGGCTGACCGGACCTGGAAGGACGAAATTAGAGAGAAGCAAGCTCAGAAAAGATTCCTTGAAAACAAGAAGAAAGTAGAAGCTAAAGAGAAACTTCACTGGATGTACAACCAAAAGAACGCAGATGCGGAAGAGTTCCTGAAGGGAAAATAAGATCGATGCGAAGTTCCTTGCTGACAACGAAGATTTGATCAAGTCTCAGAAGCTGAAAATATTCCAAACGACTGATGTAAGCCAGGATAATGAAGCGTTTGTTAAATTTCATGAAGACCCACTGACGACGATCAAGCGTGAAGAAATGAACCAGAGAAAGGCAGTACTTACTAATCCACTTCAACTTGCCCAAATTCAGAAGGAAATAGATGACCTTAAGAAAGGTAGGAAGAAATCTAAGAAGAAATCGAAAAAGCGGTCTAAAAAGAGGCGTAGAAGGGATTCTAGCTCTGAATCTGATAAATCTTCCTCCAGCTCAGATTCCTACGAACGCAGGAAAAGAAGGAAAGAGAGAAAAGCTGAAGAGAAGCGTAGAAGAAAGGAAGATAAAAGAGAACGGAAAAGGCAAAAACGTAAGGAAGAAGAAGAACTTCGTCGCCAAAAAGAAATAGAAGAACTAGGTCCAGACCCTGAACTCTACGCTGACCGTACAGCCATCCAAGAAGAACAAGATAAACTGAAGAAGGGTATTGTAGAAGAGAAGAAGGATAAAGACAAGAAGAAGCTTACTAGAGAAGAACTAGAGCAAAAGGCACTAGAGATGCAACAGAGAGCCGATAATTTAGAAAAGGAGAGAGATGAGAGATATAAGACTGTACTTGCAGTAGGGGAAAATCCTGAGGGCGAAGTCCCATCTGGCAAATCGCAAGCTGAATTTATTAATGATGTATCGAAGAAGGCCTTTGTTGATCATTCTATGGACCTCGCAGAACGTATCACCAGAAATAGACATTACAATGAAAGGATCAAGCATGATTTATAAATTCAACAATGGTTAATTTTTAGGGGTTTTGGGGTTTTGGGGTTTTGGGGTTTTGGGG